AATGAACTTCCATACATTGTACACCATCGCATATCAACATTCGTAAATGTACAGTTGTATATCTTTGACTTAATTAGTGACGCATTCATCATATTGATCTCGCTATTGAATTCAGTTTCACTGATAAGAGAATCATCCATTTCTGTATTGGCGAATGTTGATCGGCTAAACTTTGAATTCTGTATACGACTATCTTTCAATGAACTGAAGTTGAACGAACATCGATCACAATTGTACTCTTCGAAATGTGTTTTATCCAAGTTTGCTTTGAAAAAGTTGACGTTTGTATGATGAGAGTAGAGAAATTTAGCGCGTACTAGAGATGTATTGATGAATGAGATTGATGTTGTAAACATAGACGACATGATGACATCTTCCATCATTGCTCGATCAAAACTGGCGTTGTAAAATGTGACGAAGTTAAATGATGCATTGTTCAAATTTGTATAACTAAAGTTCATCGAATAATATGAAGACGAAGATGGTAATGTTTCGACAATACGATCACGCGGTGAAGCAAAGTCGATATTGGTTAGATCAGCTGATGAGAGATCGATTACCATACCTCTATCCAAATGACCAGCCAAATCTCCCTCATACAACGACTTAAACAGAAGAGTCTTACGTTTTGGATCTAGTTGACGAAATGCAATCAATGTTTCGAAACGTGCAACGAAACGTGCTGCTTCATGATTTTCACTATCGAGATGGACACCTTCTTTCAAAAGAAGTTGACTTAAAAACGAATAGTATGCCGAGATAATACTATGTTTCTGTTGATCTTCTGTAACTTCTCGGTCTTTATGACGATTTGCTTCGGCTATTTTAAAATCTTTACGTCGATTTTCTTCAGCAATCTCGATATCTTTGCGACGGTTTTCTGACGCAATTATAAGATCGTTTTGACGTGTCTTATTAGCGATACGAATGTCGTTCTGACGGTTTTCATCGGCAATTTTAATTTGAAAATCAGCTATTTTTAAATCTTTACGACGATTTTCCTCGGCTATCTCAATGTCTTTACGACGATTTTCTTCAGCGATTTCAATGTCTTTACGACGATTTTCAGCGGCAATCACCAGATCATTCGAACGTGTTTCATTGGCAAGTCGAACTGCACCAGCACGGTTTTCTTCAGCAATATTAATTTGTAGTTCAGCAATTTTCAAATCTTTACGTCGATTTTCTTCAGCAATTTCCATGTCTTTGCGGCGATTCTCTTCAGCAATACGCAGATCTTTCAAACGTGTTTCATTTGCAATACGCATATCATTTTGACGATTGTCTTTCGCGATACGTATTTGCAATTCGGCTATTTTGAGATCTTTTTTACGATTTTCAGCTGCAATATCTAAATCCTTCCGACGATTTTCCGATGCGATAAGTAGATCTTTCTGGCGATTTTCAGCGGCAATATCCATATCTTTTCGACGGTTTTCTGATGCAATAAGTAGATCTTTCTGACGATTCTCAGCGGCAATACGTAATTGTACGTCGAATTGACTTTTGCTCTGATTCATTTGTTGAAAACTGTTGCCAAGAGTAAACAAACCAATAGTAATGGGTACGGTTAGTGTTGCGATAAGTTGAATCCATTCAAAAACAGTATGACCCAAAACGACATATTGCTTACGTCGAGTATTGTAATTTTTTGGTCTTTTTTGCTGTTTCATGTTCTTGGTACTCGTTGTTACGATAACACCGTTATGATTCGAATGGGCAGTATTTAAACTAGTAAGAGACAAGAGAAGATGAAAGCGATGACGGAAACAGAAAATCTTTGTGGAGAAAAAGGTATGACTAATAAGTTTATACCTGTAAAAACTACCGGTTTCATTTTTTTTCTTTGCTACTATATTTTTCGCAACACTCGATACTAGTTTACAAATAGATCGGAAGAAGACACAAAGGTAACCACTTCCTCATTCAACGTCAAATATAGAGCTAAATTATCTGAATTTCACTAACAACAAATACTATTCTTTTCTCCTATGTACAAGTCATATATATGTTGACATAAATATATGCGCAGATTCTGGTTAGTTCTAGAGAGGGATAGTCCTGTAAATTTAATAAATGCGCAAAAGACAAAGTTTCGTATTTACCGTTGATAAATTACATACATCTCTTTAGAACTTTATCTTTTGTTTTCTACTGTTTGACATGATGATCTCTATCTATATGTTAATTATTATTTAAATTTAGATGACACTTTATCTTTTACTTTTTTTGCGAAACTCATATGACTATCCCTGTCTACATGCTGATAATTAATTAAATTTAGATGAAATTTTATCTTTTGCTTTTTTGTTGACGCACATGGCTATCCATATCCTGATTATGAATTAGATGTATATGAAACGTCATCTCTTGCTCTTTTTTGCTGACTCAAATGACTATCCATTAGTGTCCAGTGCAAATAACTTTTTCTGATTCCCGTAATTTACTAAGTTTTCAAAGGCTCTATTCATCTATGAGAAAAGAGTCATTAGCATATATACGTACCAGTTGCTGATGATATCACGTTTTGCGCATCGTAACGTGCTATTAAATAAATTAAAAGTAACTTACAATAGGGAAATACTTGACTGAATATTCTACTGATATTTGTTTTTTTCAATAATATACAAAATATTATTTATACATCGAAACTTATCATTGTTGAAGGAATTATTTCCATGATCTATTCAATGAATAAAAACATGAAAACAAAGTAGTGCATCAACTGCATCGATGAAAAAACGGAAAGTACTTGACAGATGAGGATGACAATAGCGATTTATGACAAGAACATGATAGTCATGATATGTCACAACAAGATGATCTTGATAATGTTATTTTGAATGGCGATGATGAAAAAGAAAATTTCATTTGCGATGATTAAATTATGATGTAACTAACAATAGAGCAATAGTTTATGTTTATTGATACACATCTGTCATTTTTCTGTTAATTATATATGAATAAGAAAAATTAATAAAAACAAACAGTTATTAGATAGAAATATTTATATGTTATTGAAAGAAATTTGTTTCCAAATATAGTTTTCATTTTTCTGGCTATGACATTGGGGACATATAATTTTCTTACCCCCTGCACGTTCATATATTAGAATAATCGATTATAGAAATAGCTGGATTTATTATTATTATTATATAAAAAAAAAACATTCTCAACAAAACAACTGTATATAATCATCCAAAAATTCATAAAAATCGAAATCACAAAATGTTTCTAACTATCATTAAAATAAGAAAATTTTGTCATTTAAAAATAATGTGACTTGATAAATATTGCAATTAATCCAACTAGACCAATACTAGTTATTTTTAGAATTGTTTTTGTAGTAGATGCTTTTGGTAATAACATTTCAATTTTTGATGGTCGATACATAAGTTCATTAATATTAGATGATCGACATTCTTCTCTAGCGTCGACTGGCTCTTCATCTATCCATTTAAGTGTCACATTTCCAGTATCGACTTTTAAATATTTCGTAATAATTTCAAATGCGGCTCGTTCACCTGCTTGTACTGCACCATCCATATATCCTGAAAATCGAGTTGCTAATTCAGTACCAGCGAAAACCAATTGTCCATTATTACCACAAGGTGTACATAATTGTTCACGTAATGATGATAGTAATTCTTTTGGCATTATATCAGTATAGCAACCACCACTAAATTGTTCGGCCGACCAATCTTGTTCAATATATTCACGACAACCTGTTAATATATCATTACATTGAAATGCTTGAGCATATTGTTCACAAACAGCTTGACGACGTTCATCTCGTGTTAATTTAGCCCATTTACGACTTGAATCGGCAACAATAAAACCCATTAAAGCATAAAATTGAAGTTCATCTGATGAATCATCATAAGAGAAAATAACCGGATTTGATGCATGTGATGTATCAAGAACACTACCAGAAAAACCATTTTCTTTCCAAAATGGTCGATCAAATACTGTAATTGTTTTAATAATTGAACCCATATACATTCGTTCAGTTGCTTCACGTTTTTTCGGTGGTAATTCTGGTTCAAATTGAATTGTTTTATAAAGTGACGGTGCTAAACCAATAATTAAATGACGACATGAAAATTCTTCATTATTATCACATGTAACTTTAATTAAATTTGTTGTTAAAGACCATTGTACATGTTTAACAACATGATTAAGTAAAACTCGATCTGAACCAAGTTTTTCACATAATCGATTTGATATTTGTTGTGATCCACCTTTAAATTTTCTTTCTTGTGCACCATTTTCAACTTCAATTAAACGCATTATTCCTAATCCATTATTCACATATGAAAGCCATGCAAACATAGATACTTCATCAGGTTCAACACAAAGTATTGTTCGAACAGCAGCTCGGAAAATATCTTTTGCATCATCTGTTTCACCTAATGTTACAAGCCAATCCTCAACAGTCATTCCATCATATTTTGATGATAGATCTTCATTTGACCATGGTGTTAAATTTGATATTTGATCACATAAATCTTGTGTTCGACATAATAAATAATTTAAATCAAGTAAGGCAAATACACCAACGGATGTTGGAATTGTACCTTTATATACTGATCGTTGTCCATTCGTAAGTGTTAAAACATTTTTTCCTTTATAATCAATACGATATGTCCCAATATTAAATTCACGTGCTAAACGTAGAATACGATTTTGAAATGGACCAACATAAGCACCACCAATATCAACTGAACGTTGTTCATAATTAATCGTACATGTTCGTCCTCCAACACGATTACGAGCTTCAAGAATTTTAAAATTTTTTACATTATTATCGAACAAATAATTTCCTGCTGATAGACCAGATAAACCACCACCAATAATTAGTACATCAAGTATATCCGATGACATTGTTCTGAAAAGATTAATAGATTTGTAATTCTTGAATATCCTTTTTATTTTTTTTTTATTTATTTATTAACATACGAAGGAAAAAAAGAAATACATTTATCTTTATAAACAAAATAAAATATTTAGAGTTCATCTTCAGATAACTGAAGTGCAGCTGCATCGGTTGTTGTTGTATGAGAATGTGATGTTTTCAATCGTTTTTTTGAATGTTTATGATGACGATGTTTAGAAGATGCTTCATCAGCTGGTAAATTTGGATCATCTGATATATTTTGATGAGTTTGAGATGATAGTAAAGATGAAGATTTTTTATTATCATTATCATCATCAGATGTATCGGATTCACTAATATTACCTGAAAAAAGTAAATATTAAGAAATTTATTGTTTGAAAAAAAAAGAATTTTTTTACCTAAAATATCTTCTGTGGTAATTCCTTCAGTTGATTGAAATGGTTCATCATCATTATTTTCATTTTGTTCAGATTCACTTGGTGCAATATTATGTTCTGTATTTGGTAAACCACATGCAAGAAATGTTTCAAGTGACATACCAAGTGCTGTTGGACTTTTTAGATCAGTATTATCATCTGCTTCTAAATTTTAAATGGAAAAAAACAAATTCATATTACATATGTCTTTCATTTGTTTACCTTCATCTAATGGACGGAATGAAAAAGTATTTATAGGTTCAGTTCCAATCATTTGTTGCCAATCATCTTCGTTCGATGTTTGTTCCGTTGTTCTTGTAATAGCTAAATTTTGTTGTACAAGATTTCTTTCAAGTGCATCAAATTGATCAGTATGCTCATCAAATTGTTCTTTACATGTTTGAACTATTTTTGATGCTATTGCTGTTATTGAATGTGATTCACCATTGTATTGAACACTATTTGTATGTAGTAGATTAACATCAGCTAACATTGCTGCACGTGAACGATATGTATGTTTAAGAATATTCTAAAAATAATAATTAATAGGAATTAAATTTTGTTTTTTAGTTTTAATTACATTTTTTATTTTTTCTAAATCCATTGGTGTTTTAACAATATCATAATAATCTTTGAAACGAAGTTTATTAACAGCATGATGAAATGGCCAAGAATTTTCAACATTCATTAAATGTTCACTTAATATACGTTCAAATAAATATGATATAGCAACAAGAAGATCATCATCTAATAAGGGATTTATTGCTTTTTCTAATTTCATTAATTTATCTTCATTCTAGAAAAAAAAACAAAAGAACAGATAAAGATGAATTCATTTCGATTAATATTTACAGCAGCAAATTTTTGAAAACAAGCAGCAAATATTGTTTGTGCATCACGTGTTATCTGATCATATTCACCATTAAATTGACGACTATTTTCAACTAATTGTCGAATATCATTTAGAAAACCTTGACGAGTTTCATATTGATGAGCAAGAACACGTTGACGAATTGTTTGTAAATCAATAGGATTTTTAATTACTTCATAATATGCTGGATAAAGTCGAGAATTAACAGGTGCCAAAAACATTGTTGCCTATTAGAGAGATATTATTTTAAAGAATTGATATATTTTAAATCTTACCTCAGACATATCTCGAAGTTCATTAAGAATACTTTCGAGTAAAGTAGCAAAACTAACAAGTGGATCAATTCGTCTTCGTTGTACAGTTCGTGCACGTTTATCTAAATAATCAGCACCTGCTGATAGAGGTGTTGGTGTTGTTGGTGTATTCGGTGGAAATGAAAACATTGTGCCTAATGGACCCGATGATAATGGTGTTGATGTTGGTTGCTGACGAAATGCTGTAGATGGTGTTGTACTAATATAGTTTTGATTTGATTTCGGATTATTTTCAGCAATTGTTGGTGTTGTTGAACTTTTACGTCGACTTCCCGCATGTGATAATGTTGTTTTAAGTGTACCACTCGATTTTGGTGTATAAGTTAGATTAACTGGTGGAGATGATGATGAAGATTTTATAGGTGGAATAAATTGCATTTTAGATATATGAACAATAGGCGGAGGAGTTGGTGGTCGATCTATATTCATATTTGGATTAAATGAATTTGATTGACTATTTGTTGTTGATTCATCACCATCACCTACTGATTCAGCACCAGTTGATAATAATTTTGATGTTTTATTTTTTTTCGATTTTCGCGATGGATCTTTTGATGATACTCTATTAAATATTATATTTTCATTTTTGTTTTGTTTCAAAAACAAAATAGAACATACTTTTCAAGAACATTTTTTGCAAATATTAATTTCGTACCACCACCTTCAACCATCTTAACTGAAACATCTCCGGAATTTATTGAAGAATTTAAATCAACTCCTGGAAGATCAAAACTATGCTGGGCATCTTCATTATCAACACTAATATTTGCTTGCATATTTCCACTCGATGTTTTTCCATACATCGGACAATCTCGATTCGTTCTCATATGACCTTGACCACCACATGCACCGCATTTAAGCTAAAAAAAGAAAACGATAAAAATAAATTTAATCATTTCAATTTCTTTTTTCGTACCCATTTAAGATCTTTCTCGGATTTCTTTCTTTTTTTATGTGATCCCGATGGATCAGAAGGATTTGTTGTTGGACTAATCATTTCATTATTTTCTTGTCCATCTTCACCAAATGATGTTGAACTGAAATAATTTGCAAATCCTGATTGACTATTACTATTTAAATTATCTAATGATGTTGATATTAATTGACTAGTTGATGTTATATTATGACTATTATCCATAAATAAATCAGGATGAGTTTCATCCATTGCATTGCCATCATTTTTATTTAATATATCGGAAACAGATGGTAATTTTAATGATGATAAATCATTAGAATTTAATTGTAAATGTAAATGACGTATTGGCGAAGGATTTGTTGAACGTGACGATGGTGAATGATGACCATCAATGGTATTTGATGGTAATGTTGTATTACGTTGTTGTAAACGATCTTGTCGACGAACACGACGTAATTGTTCTTGTAATCGACGACGTTCACGACGTAAATTTTCACGTTGATCTTCATCAAGTGCAAAAAATTGACGACTAAAATAGGATATATATTGAAAAGATAAAGTTAATCAATAAAATAATTTACATAAAATCATTATCTTTTGTTAAACGAATTTTTGAATAGGCTTCAGCCACCATTGGTTTACGTACATATTCAGTACGTTGGTGTTCACGTCCGTTATCATCAAGATATGTACGAACGATTTTGAGTGCACGTGAACCCTACACAATTAAAATTTAATAAAATCCTTTCTTTTTTTTTAACATACTGTTTTCTTCGTTGTATCTGTTGTATCAACATGTGGTTTTGTTTCTGTTGATTTTTTTGAGACAGTTGGTTCTAACATTGATTCAAGATTTTTTCTCATTTCATCAACATCTGAATCTTCATCGCCACTTGTTTCATTATCTGTTGATGTTAAATGATTTGTTGCTAAAGTTTTATTTTGTCCTTCAAAAATTTTTCGACAATCTTCTTTATATTTTTCTTGATATTCCATTTGACTATAACGATTACCACGAGCAAATTTTGCCATAGAAGCTAAGATAAAAACAAAAGATATACAAAATCAATTTTAATTTATCTTAATACTTACCACCATCTTCTCCATCACGAGCACGTTGTGTAGACATTGTTCGAACAATATCAATAATTTGCCATCGAGAAAGATTTCGAACAAAACTATCAGATACACCAAATTTATTTAGAATTTTTTTTGCATCTTTCAAATGAAGACGACGTAAATCAGCATCTGTTCCAGTGACCATTTTCTTTGATTGAACTGCTTCAGGTTCGACTTCCTAATAAATAATATATCATATATTTTTATGTAATTGAAATAGCTAAGAACGTACTCGAGCATTAGGTTTATTTGAAACACGAACATAGGAAAAACCTTCACCACATCCAGTTGGATCAGCAAAACCACGTAATTGAAGCCAACATTTACCTTTAAGTGAATCAAGATATGCTTTTGTTGTATGCCATGGTGCACATTTAACCTAGAAGAGAAATAATTACATTATGAACGTATATATACTTTATTATAGAAGAAAAAAAAGAATTTTAACATACTTCATCTTCAATTTTGCTTTGATCATTTTCATCAGCAGCTTCATCTTCAACAGCAGCAAATAAAACTTTTTCACCATAACCAGCATCTATTGGAAAATGGTATTGTCAATAGTCAAGAAACTCTTAGTTTTCAATATCTTCTTACCTTTCAATCGTTGTTCTGCTGCTTGCATACTATAATAAGCACAACATTGTTCTGGTGTAACAAGTTGTCGAATTTCTTCTTGACTTGGTAAACGAAAATCACTTCTTAATACCCACCAATTACAATGAACACCTTTGGAATATTAAAAAATGATAGTATAAATTATAAAATTCTTTGGAAAAAAATTACCTCCTGTACGTTTAAAATCTGAACTCATTTTTAAACGTTTTCGAATACTATTTTCTGCGTTTTGAGGAAAAGCTTTGCGTACATCTTCCATTTTAATTCTTGGTGGTTTATCTCGACTTTTCCAAAATAATCGAAATATATATGCTTGAAGAAAATCTCTTGCAAATATATTTGCACGTTTAGAATTTGGTCCTGGAACTTCTTGTAATGGACATTCTTGTCCAATTGTAAAGATATTTTTCACATTACGTATATGATAATTTTGTTTTGTACGAAGAATTAAAAAATCTGTTGGAAGTAATTTATGAGGAAATATTGGAGCACGAAACATATGATTTTCAAACGCCTATTTATTTAATAAATAGAATCTATTTAAAAAATAAATTTGCTTATTTTTACTTGTAAAAGTTCTCCAGGAACCATATCCGCTTGAAATGGTGATGAATGTGAATAAGCTATTTCACCATAATCTAACATGGGTGGATTATCTTGTTTACCTGGTTTCTAAATAATTCAAATCATAAAGAGAAAAATCTTTTTTGAAGATAGAAACCTTTTTAAAATAATTTTTAATTCTTGTTGCCATTCCAATTTGATTAAGTAAAGATGGATATTGTTCACTATATTCCGCTAAAACTATATCACTATCTAAACCACTTAAATCTTGTAAACGACGCATATAAAACATTTCTCCACCACCATATGCTTGTCGTTCTTTTTCTCTTTCCTAATAGAAAAAAACAATTTCTATCTTCAAAAAGAAAAATTTCATATTTACAGCTGCACGTGTATCAGATATTTTTCGTACTGATTGAACAGGATGATATTCTCCAGGTTTTAGCTTTCCAAGAGCTTTCTTTATTGTTGGTCGATGAAAATGACGTAATTTTGTTGCATTTAAATGTGTAGGAAATAATTGAGCATAGAGTTCAACAGCAGGTGTAGCATGTTGAAGATTAAGTGTACCAAGATTTTTTCCAACAGAATCAGTTAATCTTGGATTATAATATTCATCATTTGATAAATTCCAAAAATCATTTTTTGGACTATCTGTTTGATCATTAGCATCATCATCATTATCTTCAGTTTTTTTTAATAAACCACTACCAGTAAGAACACTACGTGTAACACGTCCTCGTGTATCCTTTTAAAACAAAGAAAATTGATTTTATTTTAGAAAGAATTTTTCATTATACTTTATGTGGAATTTTGCCACCTTTTGTTGGACTAATGGAAGTATTTGCATCGGCTTTTTCTCGTGAATCACGATTACGTTGTTGTTGGCGTGTCTGACAATCACTTGGATCAGTTGGTATTTCAAAAATTAAATGATCATCATTTTCATCGAGAATTAATTCGGATGGTTCACGTATACGTTCCATATTCTAAAAAATGATAGAAATAATCTTCCATAGAGCAACAACAAAAAAAACTTACTTCTGGATCAATTATAATATCTTTTTCCCAATCACCATACATTAAATCATAATTATCAATAGGAAAAATAGAATACCATGATTTATATTTTGGATCATCATCTAAAAAGATGTTCTATATTGTTAAATATCAATAAGATTATTAATCTTACCATTTCCATTCTCTAAATAATCTGTATTTTTTCCTAAAAAATAAAATCCATGATATATATTTATTTCTATTTGTAAGTATAATTCATACCGAATACACTTTTTTGAAAACTTGCTAATGAACGATAGTTTGTTGTTGGTACCCAAGCACAATATCGAATTTTAGGAGTATTTAAATCAAGTTTATCTCGTAAAACTGAAGTATCAAATATAATATCATCTTCCCAACGTATTAAATTAACTGGTAATGATGCATTTCCTGTTAATTCATTATCATTTGTTACTTGTTCTTTTGATGCTTGAGTTTGTAATGTTTGAGGAGAATTTAATTTAAAACCATAATCATAGGATGATAAATCAAGACTTAAACCTATTTGATCATACCATAATCGAGCTGGACCAACACGCCAATTAGGTATTTTCATATCGGTTTGTGATGTATCATGTTCATCTGATATGGGTTCATTGATAACTGGAGGTAAACGACCAAGAAATTGTGTCTGAAAAAATACAAAATTTATTTTTTTTTAAATATACAAAAATAAAATACTTCTTGATCAACTGCACATTCATTTATTGTTGCTTCACGAATTCGTGTATCGACATGCTGATAAAATAAAAGATTAGTTAAAGAAAATGTATTTATATAAAATTTACTTCTTGAACAGATCGTTTACGTAGATTAACCCATGGTTTTGGTAAATGATTTGTTTTGCCAGCACCGAATATTTTATTAAATTGAAGAATCTAAATAGGAGACGAAAGTTATTTTTAAAAGTCTTAGTATATTTAATTACTAACTGCATTCGGTTTAAAATCTGGAAAAAGTTCTTCAGCTGTTTTTCCATCATATGTATTTGGTAACATTCCAGCCAATGGTTTTTTAATATCGATTGAACCCTAAAATATTTTATTTATTTAAAAAATCAAAATACTAATTGATATTTACATGAGCAATATCTGTTGTATCAAGTTCATCATCATCATCATCATCGTCATCATCATCATCTTCACTTGGTAAATCATCATCAGATATATGTTGTGATCCATGAACACCATCATCAGCTAAATCATCAAATAATCCCATATCATTAAATGAAGCCATTGGAAGAATTTGACGAGATACAATCGGTTTTACAATGACAATGTTTCATGATGAATTTATATAGGGAAATAACGCATTGAAACCAAAATATTGATTGGATAAATTTTTCAACCAATTAACGATTGAATTTATAGATGGGAGTATTGATCGGTAATTTTACATGTAGATTTGTCGCTTAGAAAATTTATTTAATTAATAAGTTTTTTGTTGTTTCTACTTAGGTTTTTAGTAATATGGCTTTATGATCTTCTAAGAACCAATATTTCTATCCGCAAGTAATGAAAAACATTTTTTCTTCATAAGAAACCATATTATATTTTTAATCAGAAACAACAAGAATTCATTGAGTGGGAAGACGTAATTACTTTTGAATATTAATTTTTTTTAAAGAGTATTACAAAGATTAAAGTTCATGAAAAATAACAGTAGACTGAAAGAGTGATTAATTTGCTTCATTTTGTTAATGTTATATTATATTTTAAAAAAAAAGGTATTAATCCAAGGGAAAAGTAGCACAATTATTTTGCATAATATATAGAATGAGTTGAGTACTAAATGAAGACGTGTGAAAATGACAATTATTCAGTTAAATTAATGACATTTACCGAGGTATTTTGCTATAGAATTTTGAATATCTACAGAAATCGATGACTTAAAGGCACGTCAAATTATTCTTGTATGAAACGGAGATCAAATACCGGTTAAAATCAACACATCGAACATATTATAATTATGAGTATTTTTCTATATGAAAAAGAGAGTTATAAAAAAATAATTGAAAGTTTGTTGAGTTCAATATTTTTGTAAAATTTCATAACAAACTATTTTTACGACTTTGATTAATGTGTATAAATAAATTCGTATCGCCGACAGATTTTTATTTAATATAAAACTTATTATATATGCTAGTAAAAATAAATGTACCATTCTCCTCTGGACAAATATTATTTCCAACCTAATAGATTCAACACCGACAGAAAAGTACCTATAACATCGTTATCTATCTTATTTTTTCTACTAATAAAATTCGAAATCAATAATGTTTATATTTATCATTCTATACAAGTTCATATAGTCTAATCACTTTCATCAATATCTGTCTTATGAATCTATAAATAAATACATATTTATATGTAACAATATTCAACTATTACTTAATAATAAAGCTCTATTGTTATATTGAATGAGAACGATATTTTTCGTCTATTATTAAAAATTAGCCATATTGATTTTTTTCTCACCGCTCATTTAACGTATGATCACACAGAAAAACACACTCGGAAACAGAAATCATTAAGTGGCATCATATATAAGTGATTTGTACTTGAGAAAGGAAAAAAAGTAGAAAGATGACGACTGAAACAACATATACTAGTCATTTATCATGATAGCTGATGAGAAGAAAACGATAAAGAAACAGTCGATTAGTTCGAGTCGAGAGTCCATTATTGTTTTGATCATTGGAGGCGGGTCGCAATCTGTTTCAAAATATCATTAGTATAAGGATACTTGAGCAAATCAATTCTTTTTGTTTTTTTTGTCAAACATTCAAATACACTATTGATTTATATACTCAATTTACATTCATTATTTAAAGATAGAACTCGTATAGTCAATATTGAAAAAATTAATCAAATAATAAACAAAAAAATAGAACACAAATCTCAAGCGAATTGATGTTGTTACTTTAATTGACTTGCTCTCTTTGATTTTCCTTCCGTCTGATAAATTAGTTTGCGTGTTTTATTAACTTCCTTCTTTGTTCATAATACTAACATGCAAAAGACTTTTTCTCTATTCATTATGAATCCATGATTACCTCTATTCATCATTAATTTTCTTGAAAGGTGATAATCTACTATACTACATGGACTTATTTGATGCGTACAAATAATATCTATTAGTTATCCTTCAATAAAAGATTTGTATGAATAAAAAAAAAGAATTTATGATTTGATTGAGATTATTTTATTTATATTACATATATATATAGTACAGAAGAAATATCTATAGTATTCATCGTGTCGAATTAATAGGAATTATATTTCTTGCTTGTATATTTGGTAAATTATACGTACATTGATCAACGGGAGTTCTAGAAAAGAAACATATGAATTAGTTATGCATGACAAAAAAAGTCAATAAGATGATTCATACCTTGAGACATTAGCCGATGGTGATCTTGGGTCATTGAAAGGGATGTCAGATTTGGCCTCTGTCATGTCAAGTAATGGAACTTTGTAGATATTTTTAAAACGACGTTGTACACTACTCATATTGCGGGTTGAATAATAAAAATCGTTTGTCGTCGGATGTTTTTCTGAATATGACTATACTCACCAAGGTTTTATATATACGATAAACCTGTAGTTATTTTTTTTTCTGTTTTGTTCTGTTCTTTACTTTTCTCCCCCATTTGATTAACGTCATTCAGAAGAGAGAAAAAAACACCCACTTTTGCGTAGACATATATACACATATAACGTCAGATTGAGAATTAAAAGAAAAAAACGACTACTACTACTTTACATATTATTTCTCCGTATAAACGTGTTTTCACTAACGGAATTTAGATTGTTTATTTGCTAACATGCGCTTATATATTTATTTTTAAATATATTAAAAAAGAGAAAAGACATGATGTGCCTTCAGGCAATGGCTCATCTTATGAGTGAATTAAAATGACAAGTGAGCATTACTCTCATCGTTTCTTTTGAAGAATAAGATTGAAACTATGATCTTTTACCGCTTTAGTGATAGTAGTATAATCACAGCTTGATTTGATTTTCATCTATACACATGTCAAAAAACATTCTTTTCTCCTTCATTTCATATTTCATACATTGTATAGACAGAATGTAATGATATATATATATATATGTATGAAACAGATGCTAAAAGAATATTACATCAGAACAATAATAAAACAATCGTTTTTAACGATCGATCGAACATATTCATCATCATTATTATGGGTGACTACTCGTGCCATATTGTCAATATACCTGTAAAATGGATATATCAATTACGCCATAGTCATTCGAATGAAGGATGTGGGTGGAGACGTACACATTTATATATAATATGTGTCCTTGTGAAAAGCACATCTGTTTCGAAAATATAACCAACAACAGATAGCGAAAAGTGTCGATAAAAATGCATATATAGTATATCACACTCTTATTGAATAATCAAATTATAGAAATTTGCTCTTTTTGTTTGTATCTTTATATATCGAGAGAGCCGGAAGCATTGAATAGGGATCAAATAAACTCGATAATAGTTTACAACTATTTAGCATAGAAATGTAAAATGATGCTAGTGTTTCCTTACGCTTCATTGATGATCATAGAAAAAGTTGTTTTCTTTTTCGTTTCGGTTAAATATCCAATGAATATATTTTCCGGCAAATGAGAAGAAAAAAATTGAACCAATCATTCAAAATGAAAAGAAAACAAAAATGTTTTTCTTCTTAGCATTTTGTTTCTTTTTAAATAGTCATTAGAATAAGGAAATAGATTATAGCAGTAATTAAATATACAAAATTGATTCATTATAATCAATCATGCTTGTTCTCAGCATGAAAACCGCATATACGTGTTGATAGACTAGTTTTGTTGTCAACCGTCAATGGCAAGTATAGTACATCATCATCATCATTATTATCATCAGGCGTCACAGGATGCGCATTTTTACCGACTTATTTGATGATAGAATCCTGCTGCGCTATTTCTTCTTCTGTTACAATCTCATGCTAGATTCATCTTTCTTCTTTTTTTCTGCAATCTTAATAACAGACATTCGTGTCATTGAAGACTAGCCGATACGTAATCTAATGGATATATATATATTGGAATCATATCGATTATTTTCTCTTCTAGAAATATATGTTTCTATTTTAGATGAATGATACATTATTATTTTTTTCATCACCAATGTCAAAGAATTCAAAACGTATCCGTGAAATAAAATATCATATTAATCAATTATTAACAGAATTATATCTTATTGAACCAAATAATAAAACTTTTGAAAATTTTCAACCATTTAATTTAACAATAAATTCATCATTAACAACAATATCACATGAAAAATGTTTATTTGATAATCAATGTCCGTATTTATCATGTAAACAAGCTATACTACATTCAACTACATATGATGAATATAAAAAAGTTTATCAAAAACAAAAAAAAA